GAAGGCAGAATAATGGGGGAGGGACAGGAAAAGGTAGCTTTCTTTCTATCTCTGTAGTTAGAAGACCCAGCATGCTCTCCCTCTGGTCTTCTGAAAGCTCTCCTTCTTTCTCTAGGGCTCTGAGCTTTCTGAATGGATCAGAATGGAGGTCAACTAGGCAGATGGAGAAAAAGCATCCATTCCAACCCCGTGGCCCTGCTCGGCCAAGCTCAGACAGGACTAGGGAGGGAGTCTGGTGAGACTGGGAAGGCTCCCGAGGCTGCTGGCTGAACGCACCGTCCTTCGTCTGCCTCCCACACTTGATGCTGAAAGGACAAATGAGGATGGCGTTCCTTTCCATCAGCCCACAGCCTCTGGCCCAGACCCAATTCTTAGGCCTGTAGTTACCTGCAAGGTTATTTACCGGCGACTGACTGGGCCTGCCTATTTGGCCCCACTGGACCCTCTGTGTAGACTCTGAAACCCTGTCTCTCCCTTTCTCCCTCTTTCTGGTTTTTGAGCCCCTAGCCTCAGCCTCTGGAGTAGCTGGGATCACATGTGCTGCCCACCCAGAGTTTGGAGTAGTACTCTATGTGAGATTCGGGATCAGGCCACAATGCCTTAGGAACAGTCTTCTTCACTGGGGACCTCAGGAGTGGAGGGTTCCGGGGCTGAGGGCGTGGCCCAGTTGGTAAAGTGCTTGTCCTGGCTTGCATAAAGTCCTGGGTTTGATCCCCAGCACCACATTAAACAACAGCAAACAAACAAAACAATAGGCATGTGGACTCTTACAGAGTCAGGAAGGAGTTCAAGATGATCCTTGTTTCCATTGTGAGTTCGAGGCCAGCCTGGGCTACTGAGTGATGTGGGATGTCTCTCTGTATGCTGTGAATATGTTTTATTACCATTGGTTAGTAAAGAAGCTGGTTTGGCCAATAGTCAGGCAGGATAGAGCCAGGCAGGAAATCCAGAAATAAAGGGAGAAGGGTGGAGTCAGAGAGATGTCAGCAGCCACCAGGGAAGCAAAATGTGAGGTAACAAGCCACGAGTCACGTGGCAATACAGAATAAGAGAAATGGGTTTAGTTGTAACCCTGAGCTAACAGGCCAAACAAGTTTGTCGTTAATATTAAGCCTCTGAGTGGTTATTCAGGAACTAGCAGGCAGGAGAGAAATGTCTGGTTACAACAGAGTAAGTTCAAAGCCAGCCTGAGCAGTTTAGTGAGAACCTGTCCCAAAATAAAATGTAAAAGGAGAACCAGGTATAAAATCTCTGTGATCCCACCACTAAGGCAGAGGCAAGCCAGGCAGTGGTGGCACACGCCTTTAGTCCCAGCACTTGGGTGGCAGAGGCAGATGGATCCCTGTGAGTTCAAGGCCAGTCTGGTCTACAGGATAGCCAGGACGGTTTCACAGAGAAATCCTGTCTCAAAAAACAACAGAAAGGCTGAGGCAAAAGGATCTAGAGTTCCGGGCTAGCCTGAGCTACAGTGAGAATGTGTCTTTTAAAAGGTATGGGGCCAGAGAAATGGCTCAATAGCCAAAAGTACAGGCTACTCTTTAGAGGTCCTGGATTTGGTTCGCCGCGATCCTGTGGCAGCTCATAACCATCTGTGACTCTGATCTGGGTGCTAGGCATGCACATGGTGCACAGACAAACGCAGGCAAAACCCCTTTATAGATGGTCTGAAATTTTTTAGGAAGTATGTGTGTATTGGGAGTGGCTGGGGAGACAGTACAGTCAGGGGGTAAAGGGCTTCATGTGCAATCATGAGGACCTAAGTCCCATCCCCAGCACCCAGGAAAAAAGCTATCTGTGGTGATGTACATTTGTAATCCTAGTGCTAAGAAGCCAAGACAGGTGGATCCCTTGAAGGCCGGCTAGCCTAGCTACATTGGTGAGTCCCCGGAGAAAACCCTCCGTCTTAAAAAACCAAGGTGGGGAGTGGCTGAGGATGATGGCAGAGACTGATTGCTACACCTACATGCACACATATGCACACGTTCCTGAACGTGTGGCTTCGTGCTAAGACACTTGCCTGTGGCTCAGAGGTAGAACACTAGCCTGGTATGCATCAAGCCCCGGGCACCACAGTGCATAATGCCTATCTGGGCAGAGCCCTGCTAACACTGCCACCCTTCAATACAGTTCCTCATGTTGAGGTGGCCCCCAACCATAACATTATTTGTGTTGCTACTTCATAACTGTCATTTTGCTACTGTTATGAATTGTAACAGAAATATCTGCTATGCAGGAGATTTGATAGGCAACCCTGTGAGAGGGTCATTCGACACCACCTCCCCCAAAGGAGTTGAAACCCACAGGTTGAGGTCCACAGGGGTAGCGCCTAGTGAGCTGATTCTATCAAATTCTCCCCGCCTGCTGCTCTTTACTGTTCCCTTGCTGGGCAGGGCCCAACATGCAACTCACAAGGTGTGTGTGTGTGTGTGAGTGTGTGGGTGTGTGTATGAGTATGGGTGTGTGAGTGTGTGTGGAGAGGTGGGTGTGGGGGGTGTGTGTGTGGGTGTGGCAGTGTGGGTGTGTGAGTGTGGAGAGGGTGGGAGGGTGAGTGTGGGGGGGGGGGGGGTGGGTGGGTGTGTGTATGAGTATGGGTGTGTGTGTGTGTGAGAGTGTGTGGGTGTGTGTGGGTGTGACAGTGTGGGTGTGACAGTGTGAGTGTGTGAGAGGGTGGGAGGGTGAGTGTGGGGTGTGTGTGTGTGAGTGTGTGGGTGTGTGTATGAGTATGGGTGTGTGAGTGTGTGTGTGAGGGTGTGGGTGGGTGTGGGTGTGTGAGTGTGTGAGAGGGTGGGAGGGTGAGAGTGTGGGGTGTGTGTGTGTGTGTGTGTGAGTGTGTGGGTGTGTGTATGAGTATGGGTGTGTGAGTGTGTGTGTGAGAGAGTGTGTGCGAGGGTGTGGGTGTGTGTGGGTGTGACAGTGTGGGTGTGAGTGTGTGAGTGTGTGGGTGTATGAGTGTGAGTGTGAGTGGGTGTGTGAGAGAGTGTGGGTGTGGGGAGGGTGTGGGTGTGTGAGAGTGGGTGAGTGTAGGTGTGAGTGTGTGTGTGAGAGAGTGTGTGTGAGGGTATGAGAGTGTGTGGGTGTGTGTGAGTGTGTGTGGGTGTGACAGTGTGGGTGTGTGAGTGTGTGAGAGGGTGGGATGGTGAGTGTGGGGTGTGTGGGTGTGAGTGGGTGTGTGGGTGTGAGAGTGTGGGGTGTGTGTGAGAGTGTGTGAAGGTGTGTGAATGTGTGAGTGTGGGTGTGTGAGTGTGTGTGAGTGGGTGGGGGGTGAGAGTGTGTGGGTGTGTGAGAGAGTGTGGGTGTGGGGAGGGTGTGGGTGTGTGAGAGGGTGGGGTAAGAGTGAGTGTGAGTGGGTATGTGAGTGTGTGAGAGTGTGTGTGTGAGTGGGTGTGTGAGTGTGGGGTGTGTGTGTTAGCATGCACAAACCATGAGTATATGGAATCAGAGGACAGTTTGTATTTATTGTGGGAGTCATTTTTCCTTCCACCACATGGGTCCCAGGAATTATATTCAGGTTGTCACACTCAGTGGCAGGTGGCTTTACCTGCTGAGCCATCTCCAGCCTCCACCTTATTTTTGGAAACCGTCTCTTGGTGACTCGGAAGCTGATGTGCGCTGCTGTGCCTGGCGTTTTACAAAGGTGCTGGGAATTCAAACTCAGGTCCCCATGCTAGGTAGCTGAGGCTGACCTTGACCCTCTGATCTCCCCACCTCCACCTCCCTGGTGCTGGGATGACGGCACTGCCTTGCCTAGTTTATACAGTGCCAGGGATTGAACCCGTGGCTTTGTGCACTAGGTAAGTAAGCATTTTACCCAACTGAGCCACAGCCCCACTCTACGATTTATTGTGTCATCATCCAGCACAGCAGCCAGCCCTTCCCTGTCTCCTCCCTTCTCCCCTCTTCTCTTCTGCCCAAGGAACATGCTGCTCTTTAGCTCCAAGCCCTGCTGCTTAAAAAAAAAAAAAAAAGCAAGTAGCTGAGCTGAGCATGTAGCTCAGTTTGCAGAATGGCTGTCTAACATCCTAACATACAGAAAGAATGGGAGGCTGGACCGGACTACATGAGCCTTTGTTTCAATGACACAAGGAAAGCTGGAGAGATTGATCAACAGCTAAAGCACTTGCTCTCACAGAGGACTGGAGTTCGACTCCCAGCACCCACACTGGGTGGCTCACGCCTGTCTGTAATTCCAGCTCCAAGGGATCCAACACCATTTTCTGGGTAGCCAACCCCCCAGCACACACCACACACACACACACACACACACACACACACACACACTCTCACACACACACATCCCTAGCTGGAGGGCCTTGGATGAGCCTCTAGACCACCCTATCTTGCTTGAATTGCTAGGGAGAAACCCCAGGGCTGCTGTTGCTGTAGCTACTGGCCAAGCAGAGCAGTTAAAGGCAATTCAGCTTCTAAGAGGGCTGTGAGGATAGAAGGACAAAACCTGTCCATCTGTGACATAATGCAAAAAGAGATCAGCTGGGTGATGTGGCACACACTTTTAATCCCAGCAACTGGGAGGCAGAGACAGACAGATTGCTGTGAGTTCAAGACCAGCCTGGTCTACAGAGTGAGTTCCAGGACAGTCTCCAAAGCTACAGAGGGACCTGTCTTGAAAAAAGAAACGGGGGGGGGGGGGGGAGAGAGAGAAAGAGAGAGAGAGAGAGAGAGAGAGAGAGAGAGAGAGAGAGGGAGGGAGAGAGGGAGAGAGAGAGAGAGGGAGGGAGAGAGAGTGCACTCTAGGAATCCCTCCATGTATAACTGTCCCACTGCTCAGTGGGTGTTTCTCTCTACCCCAAACTCCCCTTACCGCCTTTCTCACTCATGAAAACAAACTTCATCTACTCAGAAACATCCGATATTTATTTCTCAATATTTAGATAATTTTTTTTACAAATTGAATAAACACAGAGAAGGGGAGTGTGTTCGACCCCAGGCCTGGTCTTGGGCTTCTAATGAGAGGTGACAGTGTGGTCAGACATCTCCTCACCAGCAACTCTGGCCCAGTGGCCCTTGAACCCTTCCTGCCAACCTTTCTTAAGAGTGAGCGGGGCTTTCTAAGGATCTGGGGCTCCCCTGCCTAAAGGGGACTTCGGGCATCCTGTTTGAGGCCCTGCACTGGGTCAGAGTGGTGGGATGTGTGGGACGCATGGGACCGCATGCGGCGCCGTCTGCGCCTCTCCTGCCTGCGGGCCAGCTCTCTTAACTGTTTGCGAATGACCCAGAGTACCAGGTACACTTCCCGCAGCATCTCAGCCTCTGGCGTCTCCAAGGCCGACCCGGTCCTCATTCGAGAGGAAACTGAGGCAGAACTCATAGAAGACTGTAAGAGAGAGAGATGTGGGGACGTCAGGGAGGGTAGAAGGACCAGCAATTTAAGCAAAAGGTTCAACTTGTTTTACTCCCTCCATCAAATTAGTTTAGGCATCACCTCCTCCAGGAAGTTTTCCCAGCTTGCATTTGCGGATGGCCCTTTCTGTCCTTATGTTTGCCTTATATTCCATGTTTTTATAATTCTCTTGCTTTTCTCCCTCCCTCCTTCTCTCCCTCCCCTCCCTCCATCTCCCTCCCTGCCCCCCTTCTTTCCCTTCCCTTCCTCCCTTTCTTTTTTCATTTAGAGGTGGGAGGGAACCCGGGAGGGAACCCATGTATTCCAGTCCAGACTTGAAATTGCTATGTGGACAAGGCTGGTCTTGAATTCCTAATCTTTCTACCTCTACCTCAAACCACCATGCTGGGGATGGAACCCGGAGTCTCCTGCTAGGCAAGCATGGTAAACACTGAGACACATATCCAGCCCTATTGGTTTTGAACTCACAATCCTCCTGGTCAGCCTGTGCGCACTGAGATTTTAGGCACACGCCACTATAATGTTCAGCCTTATTTTCTCTTTTCTAATTCTCTCCTTTCTCTCTCCTCTCACTCATACCCCTCCCCCTCTTCCTTTACACATTTTTTTCCCCTTTCTGTTTTGTTTGCTTTTTTGAAACAAAGTCTCATATTGTTAATCCAGGCTGGCCTGGAATTCACTATAGAGCCCAGGCTGCCCCAGAACCTGAAGCAGTCCTGCCTCCACCTCCCAAATGGTAGGATGATGGGTGTGAGCCACCTGGCCTTGATTTTTTTCTTTCTAAATTAAACTTTAGATGCTGATACATCAGAATGCAATTATATATATATACACATATATATATGTATATATATGTATGTTTATGTATATATATTATACATATAATTATACCTATTTTATTTCATAGGAAAAAATTGCAAGACATAGAGGTAGAGGAACTAGCTTAGTGGGCAAAGTATTTGCAAAGCAAACATCAGGGCCCAAGCACGGATCCCTAGCTCCACATAATAGCACATAATAGGCTGGGCATGGCAGCACACACCTGTAACCCAGTGCTGGAAAGCTGGAAATGGGTGGACCACGAGGGGGCGCTCTAGCCATTCTAGGGGAAATCCCAAGCTCCAGATTCAGTGAGAGATGCTGTCTAAAAAACTAAGGTGGAAGTCAGCACTCGGTGGATCTCTGTGAGTTTGAGGCCAGCCTGGTCTACATAGTGAGTTCCAGAACAGCCAGAACTACATAGTAAGACCCCGTTTTGAACAAAATAAACAAAAATAAAATTGTGAAGCCAGGCGGTGATGGCACACGCCTTTAGTCCCAGTACTGGGGAGGCAGAGGCAGGTGGATCTCTGAGTTTGAGGCCAACCTGGTCTACAGAGGGAGTTCCAGGACAGGCTGCAAAGCAATACAGAGAAACCCTGTCTTGAAAAAAAAATTGTGTTATTGGGGCTGGAGAGACAGCTCAGTAGTGAAGATCACTAGCTGGTCCTGAATTCCCTTCACAGCAACCACATGATGACTCATAACCTCTGTAATGAGATCTGGTGCCCTGCATGTGCAGGGATACATGCAGGCAGAACACTATATACATAATAAGTAAATAAATCTTTTTTTAAAAGTTGTTATTATCATGGGGCAAGGGCTGCATTATGTGTATATGAGTGCAGTGCCCACAGAGGCCACAAGAGGGCAGTGGATGCCCTGAAGTTACTGGTGGTTGTGAGCAGCTCTAGGTGGATGCTGGGAACCAAACTAGAATCCTGTGCAAAACCAGTGTGCATGCCTTAAAACAACAACAAGAACAAAACAAAACAAAAACAAAAACAAAAAAAAGACTTTTCAAAAAAAGTTCATTTGTTTTATTTTATGTGTATGAGCATTTTCCTGGTGCCTGAGAAAGTCACAAGAGGGCATCAGTCTTCTATAACTGGAGCTATAGATGATTGTGAGCCACCATGTAGGTACTAGGAATCAAACCCATGTAGTCTAGAAGATCAGGCAGTGCTCTTAACTGATGAGCCATCACTCCAGCCCACAGACATCCCTAGTGTTATTTTTATTCCTTTGTGTGTTATTTGTATGCATGCATGCTTGCTTAATTTGACATTTTATCACATATGCAGAATTATGTATCTAATCAAAGATCATCACAAGAATTACAAACGTTATCCTTTTAGCGTGAAAGCAGTCTCAAATCAATGGGTTTCTCCCTGGGCACTGTGTTCTCCCTTACTACCCCCAGCAGTACCAGGGATTAAATCTGAGGACTCACATATGCTAGAAAAGCACGCTATCACTCACCTACAGCTAATATCCTTTTATAACCCTTCCCCACATGATGCCTGCACCACTAAACCATGTGTATGTCCTGACTTTCTATATTTTATTTATTTAGTTGTTTGTTTATTTATGGCCTTTCAAGACAGGCTTTCTTTGTATAGCCTTGGCTGACCTGGAGCTTAGCTTGTAGACCAGGCTGGCCTCGAATCCACAGAGATCTGCCTGAGTCTGTTTCCTGAGTGCTGGAATTAAAGATGTACACACTCAGGAGGCAGAGGCAGGCACATCTCTGTGAGTTCGAAGGCCAGCCTGGTCTATAGAGTGAGTTCCAGGACAGGCCCCAAAGCTATAAAGAAACCCTGTCTCCAAAAAAGCAAAACAAAAACAAAGACAAAAAACAAACAAATATGTACACCACCAATGCCTGGGTTTTATATTTTATTTTAATAATGGTATAGAGAAAGCAGGAATGTGGCTCGGTTGGTAGAGTGCTTGTGTAACAAACACAAAGCCCTAGGTTTCATCCCCTGTACCACATAAACTGGGTGTGGGTGGTACACACCTATAACCCCAGGACTCCGGGTGGGGGTGGGGGGCACTGGTACCAAGAGGATCAGGAAGTCAAGGCTATAATAAACTACATAGTAACTTTGAGATCAGCCTGTAGGAGACCTTGTCTCAGAAAACTTAAAAAAGAAATATAAAATGACTGTGTCACCTGCTTAGATATCTCCAAGGCTCTCGTTCTCAGAGCCAAATTCAAATTCTACAACCTGGCCATCTACCCTGCCTTACACAAGAAGTAAGTTCTTGACTCAAAGATCACTGTATTCTCTCCCATAACATAGGCAACTCCCTCTCCCCCTCCCCCCACCCTCACCCACACACGCTTGCTATTCTCCCTTCTGGAACAGCCCTACCCCCCCCCCCACTTCCCCTTAATTTTCACCAAGCCCAGAAAACTCGTTCAGGCCTCAGTTTCCCCATCTCTTCATCTATGCAAGCAGACATGAATGCACCAAGCCCAGTTCTTCATAGGATCCCCTCCTTTGGTACCCAAGTCCTCTCTACCTGCAACACCACTCCCTGAGGGTATGAAACCAACATGACCTGATACCCTGTCTGCAGCCTCCCTGGTCTGGGCAAACATTTCTCTCTGTCATCTTTTCAGCACTTCACAACGGAAGAGGTACGGCAAATGCCCAAACAAGGGCATGGAGGAGCTGGAGACGTAGCTCAGTTGGTAGAGCACTTGCCTAGTTTTCATGAAGCCCTGGGTAGTACTTGCCAGTAATCCCAACGCTGAGGAGATGGAGGCAGGAGGATGAGGAGTTCAAGGCCTGGAAAGATAGCTAGATCAATTGGTCAAGTGTTAGCTGTGCAAACTTGAGCACCTAAGTTCAGATCCTCAAAAACCTGTTATACACTGGGACCGAAACAAGACAAAACAAAACTGGGATCGTAGCACGTGTTATCATCTATAATCCCGGCACCCCAGGGTGAAATGGGAGAGCACAGGGGAATCCCCAGAGACTCTCAGGACAGGAAGACTGTCATCTACAATAGTGACCAGAGACCCTGTGGAGGGCCTAGAGAGATGGCTCAGGGGTTAGCAACACTCACTGCTCTTGCAGAGGACGGGGGTTCAGTTCCCAGCACCCACAGCAGAAGGCTCACAACTGCCTGTAACTCCAGTTACAAGGGCTCTGACTCCCTCCCCTGGCCTCCATGGGTACCTGCATACACGTAAGTGAAAATATAGTAAAATAAACTGGAAAAGACTGATGCCCAAGGCTGTCCTCCAGTCTCCACAAGTGTGCTACACAAGCGTGCTCCACAGGCGTGGCTACACTCATACACACAGCAGAGTTTTTTAAAAAAGAAAAGGAAAGAAATTTGGGATTGGGGCTTAGTGGTATAACTTTTAACCCCAGCACTCAGGAGGCAGAGGTAAGAGGATCTCTGTGAGTTCAAGGCCAGCCAGGGTACATGGTGAGAACCTGTCTCAAAAAAACCCACTAAAATAAATAAACAGAATAAAAATCTTGGGGCTGGAGAGAGAGCTTAGCAGTTATAAACATCTGCTATTCTTGCAGAAGACCCAGCACCCATCCCAGGCAGCTCACAGCCACCTGTAACTCCAAATTCCAGAGGTTGACAGTCTTGTATGGTCCCTTTGGACAATTGCACAATTGTGGGCCTATACAGACAAGCAGGAATACACATTATACACAGAAATAACATTTGAAAAGATAATCAGAAATAAATTTAAATAGGAATTTCTGGCTCTCAGCTATGTAGCAAGTTCAAGGCAAGCCTGGGCTACACAAAACCCTGTCTCAAAAAAAAAAAAAAATAGTGATGGAGGAAGGAACGGAGAGAGGAATGGTACTCACCTTCCACCTACACAATCGCCAGCCAGACTGCAGAGCTGAGAACATCAACGTGGAAACTGAGTGGACTACGGTCTGGGACATCCGCATCAGGGAGCGAGTCTCATGACTCTCACGGTGCACAGCGGGCCTTTCCTTGACAGTGGCCAACATACTGGATTCGAGCACCCGTGGGCACACATCCAGGTCAGAGACCTTGGACTCTTTGTGTGGCTTGGCCATCTTTATAGTGTCAAAGTCCATGGAAGTCTCCACTTCCTTCAATGGATGTTTCTTGGGCTGCTCGGACATGCTTGGCTTGGCTTTACATTTCCAGAACAGGACCTAAGAAATAAACATAGGGCAGGCTAGACAGCTCAGTGGGTGAAAACTCCTGCCAGGAAGGCCTGACAATTTGAGGAGGAAACCAATTCCCAAAAGTTGCTTGCTGACAAGACAAATATGACAGGGAGAGAGAGAGCCTTTCCTGCGGTAAAGACAATGAAGCTGGGGGGGACTGTCCCACCATTGTGTCCCAAGCTCCTCCCTAGTCCCCTTAAACCCTCACACTTCCTGCCCTGTCTTGGTTAGCCACAAGAGACCGAGCAGGAGGGACAAAGTGGTAAGGGTTACTAAGGCCCAGATGTCATGACCAGAACGCCCATCTCGTGACTATGTGGTGTTCGTGGAACTCACCCAGCCGGTCATCTTTCGCCAAATCCGCCTAACCCATTTCAAGAACCTCCTGACCATGGTCATCTCTCCAGACACCACGAGTCCATATAGAAGGGAAAGGCTGTGGTTGCCACCGGAGAAGATTTGTGGATACTGAGGAGCTTCAAGCACAGTGTCGAAGGAAGAAATAAGAAATCCAAAGGAGGTGTGCCCCTCAGTGGCTCATGCCAGGCCCTTCCTCCCCTCCCTGGGACAGGGAGAGGAGTCAAAGTGGATGAGAACTTGGAGTGAGCGAGGGTTCTAGATCATTGTGAGAGCTGTCTCATCCCAACCCCCCCAGGACCTTCCAAGATCTTCAGAGCCAATCATTGATGGCCTTGTCCCTTCTGGCCCAAGATCCAGGATAGTGAAATTGACATTGACAAGTGCCCAGATATATCATCTGGGGATTTTGCTAATCATTACAACAGTTAATTCTAATAAGTGTTATGGATAATGAGTACAAGATCCACAACAGCTGGATTTGAGGGGGGCTGGAGAGATGGCTCAGCCTTTAAAAGCACTTGCTGCTCCTTCCAGAGGACCCAGGTTCTAGCTGCAGGACCCACATACTAGTTTACAACCACCTATAACTCCTGTTCTGGGGAATGCTGCATCCTTTCCTGCATTCACATGGTGTAGACATACATGCAACTAAAACAACCATACACACAAAGATAAAATTAAAAAAAAAAAAACTGGATTTGTTGTTGGTTGTTTTTCTGCTCTTTTTATTCTTTTGGCTTTGGGGGCTCCTGGCACCCAGCTCCCAAATGAATCACACACATGGAGGCTTATTATTTCCTCTAAATGCCTTGCCTTAGCTTGCTTGGTGCTTGCCAGCTTTTATTTTTTTTTTTTTAAGATTTATTTAGAAATGGGCAGTGGTGGCACACGCCTTTAATCCCAGCATTCCAGAGGCAGAGGCAGGAGGATCTCTGTGAGTTTGAGGCCAGCCTGGTCTACTGAGCTAGTTCCAGGACAGAATCCAAAGCTACACAGAGAAAGTGTCTTTAAAACAAATGAAGAAGAACAACAACAAAGATTTGTTTATTATGTTTACAGTGTTCCATCTGCATGTATGCCTACAAGCCAGAAAAGGGAACCAGATCTCATTACAGAGGATTATGAGCTATCATATGGTCGCTGGGAATTGAACTTGGGACCTCTGGTAGAAGAGACATCATTCTTAACCACTGAGCCATCTCTCCAGCCCTTTTCTTAAATTATCCCATCTCCCTCTTGCTTCTGAGCTTTTTCTTTCCCTTCCTTCTGTATGTCTTACTCCATGGTTGGGTGTGTGGTTGGCCCTGATGCCCTCCTCTCCTCGTTCACTCTTGCTCCTTGATTTTTGTCCTTCCAGATTTCTCCTTCTTATTCTCTGCCTGCTGGCCCCGCCTATCCTTTCTCCTGCTTCACTATTGGCCATTCAGCTCTTCATTGGACCATCAGGTGTTTTAGACAGGCACAGTAACACAGCTTCACAGAATTAAACAAAGGAAACATAAAAGAATGAAACACATCTTTGCATCATTAAACAAATATTCCACAGCTTAAACAAATGTAACACGCCTTAAAATAGATTTTCTACAACATGGATTTGAAATAGGCACGATGGTGGCATATGCCCAGAATCCTAGCACTCGGGAGATGAGGCAATGGCTGTTAGACCACACAAACAGGAGGACCTGAGTTTGGGTCCCCAACACCCTCCTGCAGGGCTTGTCTGTAATAGGGTTAGGGAAACAGAGACAAAAGAAGTCCTAGGACTTGCGGGCCAGTCTAGCTCAGTCTGCACCAGCTCCAATGAGAGGGCTTATCTCAAAAAATACTGTGGGCCAGGCATGGCCGCAAACACCTTTAATCCCAGTACTGGGGAGGTAGAGGCAGGAAGATCTCTGAATTCGAAGCCAGCCTGCTGATCTAGAGTTTTTGGACAATCAGGGCTGTACAGAGAAAGAAACCCTGTTTCAAAACAAACAAAAAACTATGGGAAGTGGTTGAAAAAGACACTCAAGGTTAAGTTTCGGCCTCCACATGCATGTGTACACACCCTCACATGCATGTGCACACAGATACTATTCAAAGTCAGCCTTGGCTACATAGTGGGTTCAAGGCCATCATGGGGTAAATGACAGCCAACGTGGAAACGACAAAGGGGGACGACTCAGTGGGTAAAGCACCCACAGAGACGGTAGCACACGTGTTTGCAACACCAGTGCTCCTAGAAGGGACCGAGAGGTGAGAGCCAGAGCAGGGCAGCTAGCCTGGCAGCCACGGCAGTGGACACAAGAGGAGCCTGTCAAACAAGGGCCAAAGCTGAGCACGGGGGTGAACACCTGTAACCCCAGCACACAGGAGCAGGCAGGCGTTCAAGATCATCCTCAACTATATAGTAAGTTTGAAGCCAGGCTGGGCTACACGAGACCCCATTTTCAACCACCACACCACTCTAAAAGAAGATACAGGGTCCAATCCAGTTGGGCTGCCAAGGACTTAAGGCCTCTAGTGGTCCTTTCTCCTTAATCCCCAGTGATAAGACATTCTTCCTCAAGGCTCTAACTGCTATTGCCATTTTCTCCACTAGATGAGATCCTTCTCCTTGGCTGCCTCTGTCTCTCGGATAGAAGGCCAGGCTGTGCTGTCCGGGAGGAGCCTGCTCACCCACTGGGCCGAGTGCTCATCCAGCCAGGGGTGGGGTGAAAGGCAAGGCGGACTGCCAGGCCTGGCAAGGGCACCATGTGCCCAAAGAGCCTGGCCCACACCCAGCCTTAAGACAAGGGGCCCATTCAAGGTTCCCTGCCCTGCCTCCAAGCAGCCACCCGGATCCAGCCCACAAGAGGGGACACATTGGGAAGCTGGGGGTGGATCCTCACACTCACCAAAGACTTCATTGTTAACCCCCCCTCACTCCACCAACCACCAGCACGTGGGTAGACACCGCCCCCTACCTCTTTCCTTAAGCCAGCCTGCCAGGCCTTTCCAGGGACCATGCACCAGTTTTCAGCTACTTTCTCCAGTGTGGACCTGGGATCTTCAGGGAAACTGTGTGTGTTTGGGACAAAGTGGGGTTGGAGGGATGGGGGGGGGCAGGTCTGCACACAAGCAACACCACATCAACCTCCATATTCAAGTTTCTTCAGATTTTTTTTTAATTATAATTATTATTTTAACAACAACCTGAATCCCAGAAGTTGAAGATACTGTCCAATCACCCTCCCCTGGGCAGAGGAGAGGGGGCGCTTGCAGGGGACAGGGTGGGGGGGGTGGGACCTGCCAGGTCACCTCCAAATCTTTCCAGGCCATCTACTGCTGGGGGTGGAGGTCCCAGAACCCTGATACCTAGAGAAGGAGGTGGGACTGGTTTCTTTCATGGATGAGGGGCCCCAGATAAGCACCCTCTCCTGAGTTTTCCCTCTTCCAGAAAGACCTGGGGACTTTGGGGAGACCAGGTGGGAAGGGCAGGCCCATATTGAGCCTTCAACTCCCACCCCTGGCCGTTGGGGCTGGGTGTGGGTATTAAAGCTACATAGGATAGGGGGCAGGCGGCTGGCACAAGGCCCAGCAGCCAGTGGCAGCCCCCCAAGGCACATTGTGAGGGAAAGGAGGTTCAGATGGAGGGCCCATTGGGTGCAGAGGGCCCGAGCCGTGCAAGTCCCGAGGATGGCAGCTGGGCCAGCTGCTCCGGGCTGGCCAGGGCACGCAGCAGTCCATTCTCCTGCTCCAATGCAGCATTCCTCTCAGCCAGGTCTCGGATCTGCTCCTTCAGTACCTCTACCTCTTCTCGCACAGCAAACATGAGGTGAGACTTCACCAAGTCCTGGACCCCGGGGACAAATAAACCATCAGCACCCCCAGGCCACCTCGAGGGAGCAGTTATGAGACAACCACGGGAGGGGACAGAGGGTAAAGGAAAAGCAGGACAGGGAGAGCACAGGGGCCACAGGATGACAGACAGGACTCACATACAGGGACAGAGCACAGAGGTTAAGGAAGCCAAAGCTGAACGGGAGATGGAGGGTGACATCAAGAGTCTGCATTCCTGAGTAATGGGAGAAGAGAGATGGAGAGAGGGACCGCTCACGGGCCCCCAGGACACACGTATCTTCCTTACCATGGCTTGTTCAATCTTGTTGTCAATGCCAACCAGGCTTCCGGAACCACTGGAGAGACACGGGGGAGAGATGCAAGTGAGGAGGAGGGCCAAGTCAGCTCTGCCACTGCCTGCCAGGTGCGCCTTGCTCTACACACCCAGCCTACACCCACCCCGCACCCACGGTACCTGTGGCAGTAGAGAATCAGAGGGAGGAGGCTTTTATCCATCCCCCGTTGGGATGAAGGTCGCGGCCCAGGCGCCCCCAGGCCCTGGGGGGGAGGGCCCATTGCCCCTCGGATGGGGGATGACCCCCGTGGGGAACATGGGGAAGACATGCAGCCCCTTTTCCGGGGTGCCCCTGGTGCCATCCCCACCACTCGAGTCTCATACGATGACACCAAGGACTTCACAGAGACCCCTGGCTGGGACATTCCTGAGGTAAGGATCAGCAGTATCCACTCCCAACCAAAGGGCTGTGTCAGAGGGAATGCCTGGGGGGCTCAGAGCCCCCCTGGGCAGCGTGCCGTCTGTGGATGCCAGGCAGGCAGAGAAGAGTCAGGACCTACCAAGAGCTGGCCTGAGAGATATACACCCTGCCCTCCCCCTCAGGGCAAGCCGCAGCTGCTATTGGTTCCTCAGGGACACGGGGACCCCCCCTCCCTTGGCTCCACAGTGGGCGGGAATTCCCAGACACACATGGTCTGTGCCAGTGTCCCCTTCTCACCCTGGCACCTCTCCCAGATTGGGGGGGAAGGGGAGGTGAGGTCAGCTGGTAACCCCTGTGTGGGGGAGGGGCTATGGGGCAAGAGGGCTGGCCTGGGGAGGGGCTCGAAGGTGAGGGCTAGGAGGCCTGGCCCCTACCTACGCCTTCTTCCTGTCCTGTCCTGTCTGGGTAACCCATGGCCTCCCTCAGCTTTCCCTCAGGGAAAGGGAACAGACAACAGAGGTGGGGTGTGGGTGTGGACAGATGTATTTATGAGCACACCCCACCAAATCAAAAATGATACATCCTAGGTGGCTCTTGCAACCTGGGACAAAGGGTCCGCCACTTCCTTCAGTGAAGAATTAGGGATGGTTTCCATAGCAACAGACCCCCGCCCCCATGCTAGGAAGCCTATAAATCGAAGGCAGCCTGTACAGCATCTAAGACTCGGATGTGGAGATTTTGAAAGGGGTCACAAAAAAAAAAGGTGAGGTTGAACATGGGACACTGGTAGTGAAGCTGAGACTTAAATCAGTCAGTTCTGGTTGCAGTTTATTCAGTGGCCACCAGAGGGCAACTCATGCCTGGTTCAAATGCCCCAGGGCTCAGGCTCCTGACTGGCACCAGGATAAAAAGTCTAGTTCTCACTCAAGCCCCTCTGGTCACCCAGGACTTACTAGGGTCCCCTTGGCCTGCTCCAGCCTCCAATGTCTCCTCTTTGGCCACCAGAGATGGGAAGGCAGGCTCTTGTTCAGTTACCTAAGCCTCCCTCCTGCTTTCCCTGGGGCACAGGGGTCTCCAGCCAGCCCTGTTTCCTCCCAGAAACACTTTGTTTCATTCCCAGATGGCTGGCTCTCTTTAGTCCCTCCCACACTGGCTGTCAACTCCAACGTGCTTTCCTACAGGGGGATCTATACTAAGTCCAAGGTGACCCTTGCATGAGGCCCTGCTGTCAGAAAGGGAGCTGGGAATTTTCCATTTCCTGGCCAAGCTCGGAGTGCAGGAGGTGCTGACAGGTAGGACAACCAAGGGGGTGACCGGGTTAGAAAGAGCAGAATATTAGTGACTAAGGATACCTGGATCCCCCAAAGACACAGAGGACATGTGTAAGAATGGGCAAAGGCTCTTGCCACTAATCCTGACAAACTGAGTTCCATTCCCAGAACCTACACGGTGGAAAGCAAGAACGGACTTCCCCAAGTTATCCTCTGATCTCCACAAGCCTGCCATGTTGTATTTGAACACACACGAGTGTGCAAGCATACATACTCACACGAGTCCACACACACAATGGAGAGGGGGATTGGACCAACTAGCTAGTCAAATCTGTTTCAAGCCACTTCAATCCACAGTACCTGGGAGGAGAGTAGGCTCCAGAATTAAACACCCTTCTTCCAATACAGAGAACCAAAGACGGACAGATGTACCAGAATAGAAGTGTCAGCCCTGCTTGGCGAACACTCAGGCAGAGATGCCAAGTTAAATCTTCTATCCTTGCCAGAAATAAAAGAATAATACAACAACCAACATTTGTTGGCTGACTGACGGCTATCTTCTGTTTGTCTAGCTCAGGAGTTTTTGAAAGCGCTTCCCCTATGACATTCTAGTCCTAACAACTTGAAGGGATGGAGGCTCTGGCAAGCTAACCCTTTCCTCTCATTAGCCGAGTGAGGGGCTGGGAAGCCCTACACTGGAATTCTTGGGTAAGGCTGGGAGCAGGATGGGAAAGCCCCACAGGCCCAGACGCAGCTTTGTGTGAATGAGAATGAAAGCCCCTTTCCCAAGACACTTATTGCCACTGTCACAATTTCCAACATGGGCCAGGCCATAGCGGCAAGTGGAAATGGTGCCCCCTGGGGGCTGTCCAGTGCTCAACGTAACTGAAACAGCCAGCTTGCAGGACCCCTGGGAAGAGGGCACCTCTTGAGACTGTCTTCAACGTGAGAATCAGGGTGACATATCTGTCAAGAGTGGGGACGTTCGGATCCGGGGTTATCGGCCAGCTTAGCTCCCCACATATGTTCTGGGAGCATTCAGAGGCTGGGCCCGAAGCCAAGAGAGTGGTATCCAGTCATCCTGTCTACACTCTCTCCCAGATCTGATTCTGCGGTGCCTGGGCCAGGGAAGGTGAGGGGCTGGCTCCTTGCCCCAGCCACCAAGCTGCCCCTGCCTGTCTTAGCAAAAGGACACCCTAAGGACCATTGCCACCTCCTATTATCTTGGGACACGCACATCCCAACAGAAGAGACCCAGGTCCACTGCAACATTTCTAAACCCTTTTCTCTTGGGAGTCACACTGTTTCATCTGGAAAGCGAGGAACCGTGGGACTGCTTTTACAATTCATGAGGTAGGCATGAGGAGGGACCACCCAGATGGCTCAGGGGATAAAGGCACTTCCCACAGAGCATAATGACCTGAGTTGGACCATCAGGACCTACAGGGTAGAAGGAGAAAACAGACTCCCACAAACTGTTCTCTGACCTCTGACCTTTACCTCTACAGTGGCACACATACATGCTAACATGTATGCATACACACACATTCACAAATGCATGAAAAACTTAAGTTAGCAGGGGTGGGGACATGGCTCAGTGGATAAAATGCTTGTGCCATAAGCATAAAGGTTTGAGTTTGAGCCCCAGGACTCGAGTAAAACAAAACAAACAAACAAACAGGGGCAGCGGCACATGGTTACAATCTCATCTCTGGGACGGACAGACACAGAAGAATCCATAGGTCTTCCTTGTCAGCCAAACTGGCTGATTCGACGGGACACAGGCCAATGAGAAACCACACACACACACACTCACGTGCACACGAATGAATGCATACATGCAAAGGGATCGCACTGGAGAGGGCTGGTGGGGGCATGTCTGTCACCTCAGCTCCTCGGGAAGCTGAGGTAAGAGGTCGGGAAGTTCAAGGCCTGCCCCACAACTTAGTGAGACCCTGTCTAAAAGTCAAAAACAAAAACACAGGGGAAAAGGGTATGGTGGGGCTTTGGTGTGTAGCCTGGTGGTAGGCTATGCCACAACCATATCTGTGAGGTCTTCAATCACCAGTATCACAAAAATAAGAGCAAAAGGAGAAAAAGCAAACAAAAACAAGCAAGCACTGGACCCAAAGGGAAACATTAGACAAGATAATGTGGCTTTTCTGCCCAAAGTCTCTGGGGTTCATTTCCTATGCAGTCCTGAACCACTAGCTAGGCATCTGCCCACACAATCAGGTATCTCACACCCAGTATGGGATCCCAGAACTTCCAACCAGAATTGGAATTCATTAGTACCCTATATTCCCATACCATTCCCAACATAAGCACTGGGAAGGCACCCCCAGCTCGACTTGGTACTCTGGTACTTAACACCACAACCCATTTTTCCCCTCTCAAAAGGGAAATCTCGTGCCACTTGGAACCCTGGGCTCCTTCTAGCTCCAGGAGACACATCAGACATGTGAGGCGGGGTCTATGCGCCCCATTCCTAGGGGTGAAGGATGGCCCAACCCAAACCCGCTGGCCCAGCAGGGTGAGGCATGAGGGGCTGGGTTGGGCCAAAGCCCCAGAGCCTTCAAGGTTGGAAGACTAATGTGGAGGCTGGGAGCAACCGGTCAGACTAGGGCGTGCAGAGGGGGTGGGACAGAGAGGGGGAGGAGGGGACCAGTCAAAAGAATGGCACTAGGGAGGCTTCCCAGGTGGGACTCTTTGTGACAGAGGAAGCTGGAGGCTAGGCTGAGAAAGGGGTAGGACATGGGGCCTTCTTGCCAGGGGACTTCCCAAATGGGGGGGAAGGGGTGGAGAGTGCTGAGAATAACATCAGATGGGGGGGCAGGTGACTCTCTGGCCCTGGCTGACCTCACACTTCACACATTCCTGAGAGCCAGCTGGAAGGCAGTTTAGAAGCTACCCTGACTTGCCCTGCCAGGCCTAGCACCAGCCCCTTATCCTCCGGTTCACATGTTCCTGGCCACACCCCTTTCTCCTTTCCCTTATGGTCCCAACTTTCACTATGCCTCACGCCTCTTTTCTGTTCCGGGCCTGGGTCTAATTCCAGAACATGGTAGCACCTGAGAAGGAAAGATCTGCGCCTGCAATAGGTTGCCCGAAGACACTCACTCCATTTAGTACCACTCCTCATTTCCTTTCCAACAGGAAGTCCCTCCCTTCAAGGGCCTCCAGCAGGAAGTGACACCTCTCCCTCCAATAAAATTGGAAGCTTGCTAGCTCTTGTCCCAAGCTCCTAGCTGTCTGACTTGGCCAACATTTCTATGAATATTTAAAGTAAAAGCCTGCCACCAAATGAGGCATTCACGCCTAGTAAGCAAGGCCAGTAGAACTGCCCTTCTCTGCTGCCCCTTTCTCACCAGGCATGCTGTGGGAGAATTTGGTCCCCATGCTCTTCTAGGCCTGTTGGTCACATCCTCCCAGAGGAAGGAACTTTAAAACAATTCCTTCTTCCCTCCCACTTTCTTTCCCTTCCTCTTCTTGGACATGGTTTCATATATCCTAGACTGGCCCCTGAAGTTGTTAGGCAGTTGAGTATGACCTTGAAGTTGTGATATTCTTGCCTCCACCACTACCCCAGTGCTGGGATTATAAAACATGCACTACCAACCTAGGCTATGCTGGGAATCCTGAGCTTCACACACGCCAGGCCCGTTCTCTACCAACTAAGCTACACTCTCAGACCACAACATACAATTTGTTGTTGTTCTGCTCTGTTGAGACAGGGTGGCACTCTGCAGTTTAAGCCGCTCTGGAATGCACTATGTAACTCAGGCTGGTTTGTTTTGAGTTGGGGTTTTTCTATTTGTTGAGACAGGTTTTCTGTGTAGCCCTGGCTGTCCTAGAACTCATTCTGCAGTCTAGGCTGGCCTCCAACTCAGAGATCTGCCTGCCTCTGCCTCCTGAGTGCTGAGACTAAAGGTGTGCACCACCATGGCCCAGCTCTGGGTTTTTTGTTTTGTTTGTTTGGGGGATAGAGTGCAGACCTGGCTGTATTAGAACTTATCCTGTAGACAAGGCTGGCCTCAAACACACAGAGATTCACCCCCCCCCCCCAGTCACTGCAATTAAAGGCTTGCACTACCACACCCTGCTCCAGGCTGTTTTTAAACCCATGGTGATCCTCTTGCCTCAGCTTCCCCAGCTTCCAGATCACAGGTGTGCACCTAGCCACACTGGACAGGCAACGCTTTCTTGGTACTAGATACTCTTGGGCTCTAATGTAGTCTGAGTGATTTATAAGGATGTCATTCACAGTCCTGGAGGACCCTAAACCATCATTTTCCCCTCGGTGATGGGAGCAAAGGGAGATGCAGATGGGGAAGGTACCAAATACCTATTCATTCTATTTTTATTTGTTTGAGAGGATATGATATAGTCTATACTGGCCCCAAGGGGGTTTATGCAGCCTAGGGGATTGAACCCAAGGCCTTATGCAGGCAAAGCTGCTAAGCCGCATCGCCAGCCCCCTCTCCATTTTCTATTATTTTGTTGTTGTCTTGTGAGACAGGATCTCATTATATAGCACTAGCTGTCCTGGAACTTGCTCTGTAGACCAGGCTGGCCTTGGAAGTCTCTGCCTCCCAAGTGCTAGGACTAAAGGCGTATGCCCCCACCGCCTGGTCCCGTTTTCTATTCTTGTCTCCAGCACACGTGCCAATGGATTGGATTCCTGAGGCTGGCAAGTGACCTCTAGGTCTGCAGGAGCCTCTAGGTCTGCAAGAGCTCTCAAACCGGACAACAATGACTCCCTTCTAACTCAGAAAGTCTGACTTAACAATCCTGAGCCAAGGAGTCCCACCCAGCTCTCTCCACAGAAAGGGAGTGGGTCCTAAGCGAACTTCACCCAGTGATTATACCCCTGCTAGGTCTGTTTACCAAGTCCCTTTTCCAAATTCATCATCTAGGGACAGGGATATACACCAGGCAGAGTCGTAAAGGTGACACTGGGTGTCACCCTCATGTCTCACACAACTCGGTAAGAGCCCACCTACCTATCATCATCACTGTCCAGGTGACCACTGATGGCCAACATGGAACGAGCCAGGCTGAGACTCTGGGCTGCTGCGGCTCCAAAGGGGTCTGGAGACTTGTGGACCAGGCTGGCATCGAAGTAGAGGGCTGGGGAGTTGGGGCGAGAGTCGATCGAAGCCACCTGGAGGCAGAGAAGCGGGAACCATGATCACATGGGGTGAGGGCTAGGGACACAGCTCAGCTGGCTGAGCGCTTGCCTAGCAGATACAATGGGTTTCACCCCCAGAACTGAATAGAAAGGAGTAAAATGGGGGAGACAGTAGGGATGTAATTCAGTGTTGGGGGGTCCACCATATTACAATTTGCTGTTATCTGGGTGTCTTCTTCCCTTTCCACCACTCCCATTTCTTCCTAGCCCTAGAGCCCTCCCCTCTTCGAGACTTCCTAAAAACAGGGCAGGGACTAGGGGAGTTATGGTGAGACAAGAGGTACCAAAAAGGACACTCATTCTTTACTCAACAAGAGGACACCGCACGTAGACAGTGACTATCTTTCTTTGAAATAAGGTCTCCTATAGCACAGGCTGGCCTTAAATTGACTAGCTGAGGATGACTCCGAACTACCTACTGTCTCCATCTCCTCAAGGCTGGAGCTTTGAGCATGTACCACCACGCTCAGTTTATAAGATGCTAGGGACAAACTTGGCTCTGCGCATGCTTATGCAAGCACTATACTAACTGAGCTACAACCTCAGAGCCCCTCCCTCCCCAACCTTCTTTTCTGTGACAAGATCTCACTTTGTAGCCCAAGCTGACCCAGAACTTGCTATGTAGGCCACGCTGGCCTTGAACTTGCCATCCTCCTGCTTTCACCATCCCCCCAGTAAGATGCCTTCTTAAAGTCACTCAAACGTCAGTTCCTTACAGACACTTCCTCACTGTTTACCAGTCCACTGAACAGTTTCACGGTTTTTTTTTTTTAATAGCATCTAGTACAATTTGAAAATTAAAAGTATTTCTTGTGTCTCCCCTGTTGGAAGGTGTGTTTGTTCTGTGGCTGTCTGCAGAATCAATGAGCCCTCAGAAACAGCTTTTCCACGCCCCCCCCCACCCTAGAGGTGGCCTCTCCTCTCAAACTTCTAGGAGTAGGGATGATATTCAAAGATTTCTCTGCCTTTTTGGTGGGGGTGAACTCTGTGAAATGGGAGGGGGAGGGGGAGCCTGGGTGTGGATCTATATAACCCAACAGGCAGCAGCTGGGGACAGCTGTAGAAGGGTGGAGGTGACAGGAACTGGACAAGAAGCCTCTGTGAGGGCCCCTGAGAGGCTCCACCTCAGGAAAGCCAACAGAGTAGACGGTGGTTAGAGGGACAGACGGGACATGGGAAAAGGGACAAAGTCGCCACTCACCCCTTGTCCTCCTAACCTCCCTCAGCTCTTTCTGAGATCATGGGACTGAATTAGAGAGTCAAAACTCTGAGGCAGGGAAGGAGTGACAGTTACAAGCACACAGGAAATGATCGGGGCAGATCGGGAGGGAGGAAGGAAGGGGGGGGCTGGGGACACTGTGGGGAGAGAGGCAGGGTCTACAAACCTAAGGGAGGCTCGGGCAGGTTTAAAAGAGGGCCTTCGGGACAGCTGAGGGAGTAGAGGGGCTTGCTGAGTTTGATCTCACATGGCGAGACCTATGCGGTGGAAGGATTGACCTGACTCCCAAGTTGTCCTCTGACCTCTACAAGCACACCAAGGCATGCATGTGCCCACACACGTTCACACGTAAATAAAAACATTTAAGTAAATAATGTAACAAAAGTCGGGCAAAGAGCCACTGACAAACTTGCCCTCAGAGAGTCTAGGGACAAAGACCAGGCAATAGCAGCTTATCCAGGAGGCAAAAATAAATAAACAATTTAAAATATAGGCAATTTCAACCATGGAATGGTAAGCTGGAGGCCAGGAGAGGGTGGGAGAGCTGGTCCTGACCAGTTCTGACAGGGCTCAGGCTCAAGATATTTTTACACTGTGGTTTGAGCCCATGGCCAGGAAGGGGCAGAGAGCCTTCATCCTCACACCCTGCCTCCTCCTGGCAGCCAAGGTGTTATTTTCTCCACAGCAGAAACATCCAACTCTCCCATTCCTAAGCACTAACCCAACCTCCTACAAACACACACACACACACACACACACACACACACACACACACAGAGGAGCCAGGCATCCTGCCCCCAGCCCAGACTTTCAGGCAGCTTCCTCTTTTGGAGACAGGAAACAGAAAGAGGATTTAACCCCTTCTCTCCTGCTTCCCCACCTCCCACCACACCGTTGCTGAGGTCATCCCATCTGTCACTCCTGAAGAAGACGGGGTACAGGGTACTGAGGTGACTAAGGGTGATATGTGCCTCCAACCACACTTCCTCAGAGAAACTGCTTTGCAATAAGGCAGAAAATGGGGCTGGGCTGGTGGCTGGTGGGGAGAATAAGGACCCAAAGGAATGCCTACCTTTTATGGCTGCCCCAAAACCTTGCCAGCTCCTCCCCTGCAGGGCCTAGCCAGCCACCCAGCTGAAGCCTCCACCCTCATCACCTGGAGCCAGAGGAGGTAAAGGCTGAAGTGGGCAGGCCACATATGCCACAGGCTTTATAAAAACAGTCAAGGCCAAGGGCAACAATTTAAAGGCCAGAGAGAGAGACAGAGAGAGAGGAAGGGAAGAAAGAGGAAGAAAGGAAGGGAGGGAGGGAGGAAGGAAGGAAGAAAAGAAGAAAGGAAGGGAGAAAGGAAGGAAGGAAGGAAGGCTGGGAAAGAAAAGGTTTTCAGTGTACAAATTGCTGACAGCGAAAGGAACCTCATGCCCTTATCCAGAGGTGATAGAGGAGGTGAGAAGGACAGGCTAGAAATTGAGGCAAGGAGGCCCAGGATATTGGTCAGACAACAACTGGGTACAGTAGGTCTCAGCCCAACCCCCCTTTCCAGGGTTTCCCTGAACCGGGAGCCCATTCTTACCTTCCCCGTCTCCTCTGGACCAACTAGCTCCATCCTCAGCCGAACTGCTCCATCTCTTCTCCGTGACAGTGGAGGGGTGCCAGCCGCTGAACTCCCAGATTCCAAGTCTACCCTCAGAGAGGGCAGAGGCTGGGCACTATCTCCAGTCCCAGGCCCCAGGGGACGTTGCTGGGGTGGAGAGGCTGACAGTGGGGGTGTCTCCGCCTTGGCCTTGCCAGGCCCTGCCAGCTGGCCCAGCCCCCCTGTGAAGGAGCGGGCCTGTGGTCCAGGAGAAGTGGGGGGCGGGCGGAGCCAAGAGGTGGGGCCCTGAGACAGGCCTGGCTGTGGGATAGGGGTGCTTATGCCCAAGCTAGCCAGCTCCAACCTAGAATCCAATGATCTGCCCCCGGTGCCTCCTGAGGCCCCTCGAATTCCCTCCAGAAGCCGGCCGAAGCTTGGGGGCTCCAGGTCTCTCTCGTAAACATCCACACACGTCCACCGACCTCGACGATAAGGCTCTCCCAAGCCTTGGGGCAGCTTCACCACCCGGAAACGGGAGGCAGGGGCTCCAGGTGGCGGGGAGCCATTCCGGGGAGTGCCCCTGCCCCCTGAATCAGGGTTGGGTTCCCCATTGGGGAGGCGGGGCGGGGGTCCAGCGGGAGCCGGTGGGGCAGGAGAATCCGAAGCCCCTGGGCTTCCTGGGCCCTCATAGTCTGTGGTGACGCTGGTGATCTGAAAACTACTTTTCTTCTTACCACCACTCATGGTCCCTGGGGCTCCGGACTAGGCTCGGGTGGGGGAGGGGCTGGGCTCCTGAAGAGGGGCTCAGGCACCTCTGGAACAAGGGGGCCACATGGCAGGGACATCGGGGCCCCTGGGGACGTCTGGGTCCGACATGGCAGGAGGGCCTTGTGGGAACTGGGGGTGCCTGGTTAGTGACTGGAGTACAGGGTAGGGGAGGTGGCGAGGGGGGGGAGCAGAGGCAGGTTTTTCCTGCTGCTGTCGCTGCCGAGAGCGCAGAGCTGAGCTTGCAAACTGGAAAAAAAAAGAGAGGACAGAGTAAGAGAGAGAGAGTGTGTGTACGTGAGCAAAAAAAAAAAAAAAAAAAAAAAGCAGGGGCCAAACCACCTCCGGGGCTTCCTCTCGGGGGAGCCAACTGGGGGAGGAAAAAGAAAGCCACTAGAGACAAGTAGAGATGACAGACCAGAGCAGAGGGGACCCAATTCGAAGCACCCATAACAGGAAGAAGCAGCTGGGACCCAAAGTTGAACATTTCTGGCTTGAAATCCAAAGTCGTCCCCAACACGGGTCTCCAAGGCCGGGGCAAAGGGCTCCCCCCGTGAAAGGGCCACCCTGAGGCCTCTGCTGGGCCTCAAGCCCACCCCACCCCCATCCGGCTCTCCCACCGCTGGTTACACAGTGCCCGCCAAGCTAAGCGCCCCGCCCAGCCCGGGAGTCCTACCTACCTCTCGGGCCTCGCTCGGCCACCGAGCTGGGCTGGAGAGGACCCGGGGACTAAAGACGTCCTTTTTTCCCTAGGGCCTCTTGGGCCCCTGGGCAATGCAGGCCACGGCAGACGGCAATCAAGGGCTACCCAGTGCTCTCGGGCGTCCGCATCTCACTCTGCGAGGCATCTCCGTGGAAAGTTTGCAGCTGAGGCGAGAAGAAACCGGCGCGTCGGCGGTGGAGCTCAGGCGCCGCCCGGGTTAACACTCGGCGGGTCTTCCCGGTCGCTGTGGGAGGGGGCGGCTCAGCCCCCCGCTGGCTCCAGGTCCCTCGAGTGGCTCTCTCAAGACTCCTCCCACGTGGCCCCACTGGATGTAACTCTGGGCTCCTCAGCTCCGCTCGTCTCTGTCTCGGACTCGGCCTCTCTCTTTCTGGGCTGTTGACAACCCCCACACCAGGAAGTCCTGCCTTCTCGGGCCTGCTCACTGCTCCTCTCCTCCTCCTTCCCCTCTTCCTCCTCCCTCCTCCCTCCTGAGGCTCCCTGCCAGCTGGCCCGGAGCCAAGCCTGCCACAGCCGCAGCCGCAGCCTACAGTTGCTGCTGCTGCTCGCTGCTGTTGCTGCCGCTGCTGCTGTCGCGGCTGCCGCTGCTGCTGCCGCGGCCCCAAACTGGCTGCTTTAACCCTACACCTGCCGGGACCCAGCCTGCTCTTCCTCGGAAGGAGGGGCGTGGCGGGCGGAGAAAAATAGGAGGAGCCTGCGGGAGGCCAGGGATTCCCTTACTTGTAGGCTTTTGCTGCCATTGGTCTGCAGGCTCGCCAAAAGAGTCGCAGGGAACGTGCCAGACATGTTCTGGGTACCTGGCGGTCCATAAACACCTAGTAAATGTTACCGAGTGGCTGTGATTGTCTCAGCGTCTCTGGTTTTCACTGAAACCTCATGAAAAACTCCCCCTCCCCACTCTTTTTCAAAAGGGGGTGCTTGGTTATGAAAATTTTCAAACATGCCCCAAAGTAGAGGAAATAGAATAATGAAGGCCCACGTGCTCCATCATGGACTTGTGTCAATTATCAGTCTACCGAGTTGTGTTTCATCCCTCCAATATTTTTTTTCTCGGAATATGCTGCAGTATTTGAATTTTTACGTGTGTGTGTGTGTGTGTGTGTGTACGCGCGCGCGCGCACACGCGCGCACGTATTTGGAGGTCAACTTGTAGGAATCAGTTCTTCCACCATGTAGGTCCCAGGATAGAATAGTACCAGCCATCAGGTTTGGTAGCAAGTGCCTTTACCCACTGTGCCATCGTCTCTGTCTTGTTCCTGCATCTGTTTTGTTATGTTGTTTTGTTTGGGGAGGGGGGCATGGATTCCAGACAGGGTTTGTCTATGAGCCCCAGCTGTCCTGGAATTTGATCTGTAGATCAGGCTGGCCTTGAATTCAGAGATCCACCTGCCTCTGCCTCCCCAGTGGTGGCTTAAATGTTTGTCCCGCCACTGCCAGGCTCTTCCTGCTTTTGAAATACAATCTCTGACACAGTATTATTCCCTTTCTCATATAAGAAAAGGGAGAAGCTGAATACCCAAAAAGGCTGTTGCTAGGACAGACATGTCTGTGTGGCATGTGTGCAATTGCACACACCTGTGTTTGTTAACTAAAGGACCACATTGGGTGCCCTCCTCACTCTACACCTTGTTCCTCTGAGACAGGGTCTCTCGCTGAATGAATAGCTTTGTGGCAGCCTGCTTCCCAAGCACTGAGGCTAAAGGCTCATGTGGCCATGCCTGGCTTTTTACTCGGGTGCTGAAGATTTGAACTCAGGCTTGTGCATCAAGGACTTTTACCTGCTGAGCCATCTCCTCAGCCCAGAAAAGGTATTGCTATACATTCATCTATACCCTTATCTGTCCCTCAGCTAGACATGTAGGTAGACCTGAAGATGAACTTGCTCAACTCTATTTTGCCCACAATGGTTGAACACACACTTGTGTTCACAAAACTACCCCAGAGGTGTACCTGAAGACCACTCCTAGCCAGCCCTTTCCACCTCCCAGCCTTTCGCACCTCTCCCATACTATTCCCTGACCATTATGAAGGAGAATACACATATAAAGGGTCTACTCTGTGCCTGGCATGAAAAAACTCCCAGCTGCCATTTTTCTTTCTTGGCACTCATAACTTGGCATTCCGAGTGGGAGTCTTTCAGCCAAAGCAGGATCTAAAGGCAGCATCTGCTGTCACTCAGGAGTTTGGAAAGAGATGGGTCCTAATTAATTTTACTCAAGCAGAACTGTTCTTAAGTGCTAGCTGGGTGTGGCAGAGTGTGTACTCCCCTATAATCCCAGATCTTGGGAGGCGGCCTAGAGGCCGGTGGATGAATTGTTCAAGGCCAGCCTCAGCTACAGGAGATCATATTTCAACAGCAGCAGGAAGACAGACAGAAGGAAAGAAGGAAGAGCCCTTGGTTAGGCTGGAGGCATAGCTTAGTAGGGTGCTTGCTTTATATAAATGAAACAGTTGGTACCATCTCTAGCACCAGTAAACCATGTATAGTGGTACACACCTATAATCTCAGCACTCTAGAGGTTATTCTTGGTACATAGTGACTAAGAGGCAAGCCTGGGCTACAGAAGACTGAGACAATGGTGGCACACATCTTTAATCCCAGCATTTAGGTGGAGGCAGGCAGATCTCTGAATCCAAGGCCAGCTTCGTCTACATATCAGGTTCTAGGTCAGCCATGGCTATATAGTAAAATCCTGTCTTAAAAAAAGAAAAAAAATCTGCCAGCTAGGCATTGGTGGCAAATGCCTTTAATCCCAGCACTCAGAGGGAGGTGGATCTCTGTGAGTTCGAGGCTAGCCTGGTCTACAGAGAGAGGCTCCAAAGCATCCACTTGTTTTTCTAAGGCAAATTTTAGGATTATATGGGGATACTCCTTGCTGTAGCTCATGTCATTGTTTTTTTAAAGATAGGATCTTATATAGCCCAAGCTAATCGGCACGTGAACTCCTGATCCTTCTGCCACTATTCAAGAATTACAAGTGTAAGCCACATGGGACACTCACAGGAAATTCTAATCACTTTTATTGTTGTGGTGGTATTGGTGATGGTGCTGGCCATCAAACTAGGCATGCTAGTTAAGTGTTCTACCAACTGTCTACATTGCCAACCCTCTTTTTACTTTTTGTTTGTTTGTTTGAGAACTCACTCTGTAGACCAGGCTGGCCTCTAACTCAGAGATCTGCCTGCCTCTGCCTCCTAAATGCTGGCATTACAGGTGTGTGCCACCACCACTGGGCTCCTCTAATCACCACCATCCTGGCCTCTCTTTTCACTTTTTTGAGGGAGGCTCTCAGCATGTTTCCCAGACTAGCCTTGAATTAACAAGATAACCCAGGCAGGCTGGGATTAAAGGCATGTGCCACCCCCCACACAGGTCCTCTAACCTTATTTTGAGGTTAAGCAAGGTTTTTTGTTTTGTTTTTTAAAGAAATTCCTAGCTGTGTGTAGTTGCACATACCTTTAATCCCAGCACTCTGGAGGGAAAGGCAAGTGGATCTCTGAGTTCAAGGCCAGTCAGGTCTACAGTGTTGAGCCCCAACACAGCCAGGAATACACAGAGAAACCATGTATGGAAAACCAAAAAAAAAAAAAAAAAGGGGGGGGGGGCTGAAGATGGCTCAGTGGACCTAGGTTCAATTCCCAGAACCTACATGGCAATTCCCAACTGTCTCTAACTCTAGTTCCAGGAAATCTGACACTCTCAGACATACATGCAAATCCCAATGCACATAAAATAACAAGTAAATCTCAGTGGGTATTAGTGGTGCTTGCCTTTAATCCTAGCACTAGGGAGGCAGAGGCAGGCAGTTCTCTGTGAGTTCGAGGCTAGCCTGATCTACATACAGAGCCAGTTCCAGGACAGGTCCCAAAGCCTGAGAAACCCTGTCTCGAAAAATCAAAAAAAAAAAAAAAAAAAACAAAACAAAACAACAACAACAAAAAAGTAAATCATAAGACTAAAAAAAAAAAAAAAACCAATTCCTGCCTACCTGCCCGCCCCCATCTATTTATTCTTATCTTCTTGTTAAAAATTCATTCACTCTTGCCTATCTGTTCTGCATTAGCCATAGTAAACAAGGGCTGTAGGGCCAGGTCCTAAAGTCCAGGAAACAAATTTCTGGGCTCTTCACTTACAACACCTCTTCCTTCCTAAGGACTTTATTTAGAATCTCACGAAGGCCACATTAGCTTCGAACTTCTGTAGCTGAGGATGACCTTGAACTGAAGATCCATTTCCACCTGAGGAATGCTGGGATCACAGGTGTGTGCCACAGCGGGCCATGCCTCCAATAACATTAATTGAGCCAGGTATGAAAAGATGCATGGCTCCAACAAGTAACGAGATTTGCTTGAGGCCACACAGTACACCTGCAAAGACTTTGCCGCATTGCAAAGCATCCACAGGTACCAGAGACTAGGGTGTGCATACTTTGCAAGGATCCCATTTTTCAGTCAGTGGAGGGTACATACGAGGTCTTCTTGAGACTTATTTACCCAACCACAGAGCTAAGTGTCAAAACTGATTCAAGCAAGGAATTTGTCAACCGGTTGATGAGAAAAGCTCAAGAAAGGGGAGGGGTGAGGTCACATCCCCAACCGCTCCCAGGCGGTGCCCTGGGTGGTCTCTGGCAGAGGCCAACCTGGTGCGCCCAGATCCTGACGGGCGGTGCCCACGGAGTCAAAGGTTAGTAGAAGATGACTTGGCCCGCGGGGGCGGACGTGCGGAAGACTTTGAGCCCCACACGATGGAACAAGGTCCGGGCGCCTGGGAGGAGGCCCAGCACCAAGCCTGCCAACTCTCGTGCCCTCCCCTCACCTAGGGCGGGATAGGGGTGGGGGCACGGCGGAGCCTAGGCCAAAAAAGCACGCCCCCTGCTGAACAGATGCGCCGATTTTTGGACTGCCGACTTGAATCCCCTCTGCCAGGCTCACCGCTTAGCAGTACCCAGGGACCGCGGCCGCAGCCTCCCACCCGGGAACGCTAAGGCGCACCGGGTTCGCGGGTGGGTGCGACCTCCAGACTCCCGCTGGGGGGCGCTGCTGAGCATCCCGCTCCGCTTAGGGTTTGGGAGACCCAACCCAGCACTGCCCGGATGGGCAGGGGGCTCGGGTCGCTTAGGACCAGACAGCCGAAAGCTGGGGAGCCGGACTCCCGTACCCTAAGACCTTCGCAAGCTCCCTTGCCCGCTCCGCGGGTCCTGTGGCCTCCACCCCAACCTGCTGGTGCAGCGCCGCACCGCCGTTCCCGCTCTGTCCTTGGAGGGTGTGGAAGGGTGGGTTTGGGGGCCGGGGGCGGGTCTGGGGGCGGACCCGAAGGCGGGGCTGTCTCTGCGGCAGGGCCCAGTTCGGCTCCCCCGATCTCTCTCTGTCTCTCCTCCTCCCTCCTCCTGCTCCGGGCGGAGCCCGGCATGGGGGGGCCGGCGCCCGGCAGGCCAGGTACGGTGATGTAGAAACTGGGGAGGCTTCTTGTGGGGAGGTGGTGATGGGGGCACTAGGGGCAGGGAGGATTGGCGGGGCGAGAGGCGGAGACACCCAGGGTAGCAGGACAAGGGGAAGAGGAGGGGGTGCCCGGGGAAACCTGGGGCCCTTGGATGGAAGGGGGGGGGATGAAGCAGGCCAGGTTTGGAACAAACTGGGGAAGGAGGAGGACGGCTGTGAGGAGGGGCTCCAGGGAGGAGACGTGAGGCTGAAGGCGAAAGAGTGTTTGGGGGAAGGGACGCAAAAGCGCAGGTATGGAGGCCGCAGCCCAGAAGGTTGCTATGGGGCCAGGCTGGAGACCCCCGCCCCCGCCAGGGTGGGATTCGGGGGCGGGACTACCAGGGGAAGCCGGGGTTCTCCCAAATCCTGGAGCAGAAAGAAGGTAGATTTGATTTGGGCCATCAGCGAGAGGAGGAAGGCTGAAACCGTTGCTGAGGGACCAGAGAGCTCGAATAGAGGTGGACGGAGGTCCAGGCCCAGGATTGGAAAAGCAGGGACACCAGGGAGTGAAGGTAGATGGATGGGTGGGATTTTAGTTACCCAACTCAGTATCACCATCCGCCCTTCAGCATCCCCACCCTGTCCTGATGATACCCCACCAAGCCTCGGGGCCCAAGAGAGGGTAGCAAGCCTAACTGCCCCCCCCCACCTTTCCCTAGTTGGGTGCAATGTACGCAAGTAGGCCCTGAGCACAACTCCTTGTCTGTAGGTGTGGCCAGACTGATAGCAGATTTTGTGTGCTTAGAGGTCTGTGTGTGTCGGTGGGTGTGTCGGTGGGTGTTTATGTCTGTGTTTGCTGTTCCTGGGTTTGTGTTTACCTATGCCCCTCTATGTCTGCCCGTTTATAGATATGTCTGTGTCGGGGTGGTGGCTGGAAATGTGCTCTGTGCCTACAGAGTCGCTGTATGTTTGTGAGGTGTCTGTCTCTGTCGGTTCAGAATGTATTTACACAGGATGGAAATCTGTGTCAACCTGATCTCCCCAGAGTGGCTCCAAACACCTTTGTCAGGGTGTGTGACTCTGCACACTCAAGCTTCTCTGTCTGTCTGTCTGTCTGTGTCTGGGAGGGTCCCATAGACTGTATTGGATATTCTGTGCCTGTATTTTCCTCTTCTGAAGACCCAAATTGTGTCTCTGCCCCTTTTTTTCCCTCTCCAACCTTATCTTCCTCTTTCTCCTTCTTACCCATTCCCCTTATCAAGTGGATCCGGGACCCAGGGAGGGCCGCCCCCCGGGCCTGGTGGCATTAAGCAGGGCCCCTCAGCCCCCACCTCTTGCCCCACGACATGAACCTTCTCTACCGAAAAACCAAGCTGGAGTGGAGACAGCACAAAGAAGAGGAGGCCAAAAGGAGGTAAGGTTGGGCCCCAGCCTGTCCCACGGCCTGTTGCACAGTCCCCTGGGCCTTCGCATTTTGCTCAGCCACAGCCCCTCCTGAGGCCATCAGCCTTGTCACCAGTGTGAGTTCTGCCCCCCCACCCCCATTGATTCTTCCACTTAGCACAGAATGGCTGCAAGTGCACAGGTTTGATCCCAGACTTGTTCCTAGCTCCCTGGAAGAGGGTTATGGCCAGGAGTACACCTTCCAGCTTTGAAGAGCCCTCCTGGTTTCTCCCTAAGCCTATGGGCCCCAAGTCTCTTTGCTGTTATTTTAAGACTCTGGCTGCTGGTTTTCCCGTCACCTGACCTTGGAAAGGGCAGGCCCCACTGTCTTCACAGGGTCTAGGGAAAGGGTCGTTTTAGGGGCCTCGAGCATTCATGTCTCCCACACAGCTTCCTCTGTTGGGGGAAGTGACTGACTAAAGAGGTGTGTGTGTGTGTGTGTGTGTGTGTGTGTGTGTGTGTGTGTGTGTGTGGCGTTAGGGGATTTATAGGCTAAGCCTACAGAGGAGCCAGGTAGAGTCCCCCATTCCTCTCACTCTTCCAACGCTACCAACTCTTTCTCCTTGCCCTCACAGGAACCCAGGCCTAGCCTCTCAGCTTCCTTCTCCTCCTTTCCCCTTGACTACACAGCCTCTTGGCGTCTGAGTCAGAACCACCTCCCAGCTCCCTTCTCCCTCCTCGAAGCTGTGGAGTTTAATTCTTGTTGTTAATTAGATTAATCAGAGCGATCACTACAGTGATCTCTCCCTAATGAAGGGTTAGTAGTCAGGGCTTTAATGAGAGCCCACCCCACAGCAGCTTCCCCTCTGCTCTGCCAGCCACCCTGCTTCACTCACCCAGGACAGAGAAAGGGATTGGGAGTGAGCTGGAGAGGTTGACAGAGAGAGGGCAGCAGAGGGGGAGAGAGGGAGAAAGAGAGAAAGGAGAGGGAGGGAGGGGGAGAGAGAGCCGCGCTCACTCATGCACCCAGGGAGGCTGCTGTAATGATTCAGGCATCACACCCTGCCTCTGGAAGAGGTGGCCTGAGATGCGACAACGGAGATCACAGTAGCAGGGCATGAAGGGAGGCCGGAAGCCAGGTGTGGGCTAGCATGTGAGGAGTCACAGTGGCAGGTGTGTCTGTCTGCTTGTCTGCCAGGTGGCTGTTGCCTGGATTGTATCTTTCTCCACATAACGGGCTGTGTACAAGTTGGGTGGTTGGTCAGCATCAGGGACACTGTCTTATACCATTTTTTTCACTTCTCACACTGTATGCTGTTTCCCCCCACCCCCCAATGCCTGGCTTTTCTTAAGTCCAAAGAATCTGCCCAAAAGCATTACCTTAGACCTTCAGATGTCCCTACCCCAGGCTCCTGTCCTCACTGGGGAAACAGTTGTTCCATCCTTGAAAAGGCCATCCCCTGAGATGGAGGAAGGAAAGTTGGAGGGCCGATGTCTAACTTCTGTTCCATCCTGTTCTCTCTCCCTAGCTCCAGTAAAGAAACAGCCCCCACAGGCCCAGTGGGGCCTGGGGCTGTCCCAGGGCCTGGGGTCCGAGTACGGGACATTGCTTCACTTCGAAGGTCCCTCAGGATGGGCTTCATGACGATGCCCGCATCCCAGGAACACACCCCTCACCCCTGCCGAAGCGCCATGGCCCCACGCTCTCTCTCCTGCCATTCAGTGGGCAGCATGGATAGTGTAGGGGGTGGACCTGCAGGAGGTGGGGGAGGTCTCATAGAGGACAGTAGCACCCGAAGACCCCCGGCTAAGCCCCGGAGACACCCCAGTACCAAGCTCAGCATGGCAGGATCAGGGGCAGAGACACCGCCAAGTAAGAAAGCAGGTGAGACAACCATCCTGTTCCCCCATCCCTCTTCAGAGCAAGCTGGCAGCCAGCAGGATCCATTCCGTGCTGGGGGGGGGGGAGTGTCTCTGGGAGGGTTCATTCAGCCAAGAGCCAAGGAAGTGGAAAGTTCCATTCTCAAAAGGAATAGGGGGTTCCTTTTAGATGGACCTCAGATGAACCATTCAAGGGCAGGAGACACTCCCTCAAAAATAGTTCTTAGGAAAGGACACAAAGGTAAGTAGAAGTTCCTAACGGGGCTGAGGTAGGATGCTAGCCTAGGGTGAGACCCAGTCTTAGAAGAAGAAAAGAAAAAACAAACAAAAAGCTGAAGAGAAAACAAACCAACAAAATCCTAGACATGACAGCACTGGCCTTTAATTCCAATACTCCAGACAGAGACAGGACGATCTCTGTGAGTTCAAGGCCAGCCTGAACTACCTACCCAGGCTAGCCAAGGCTACACAGGGAGACCCTGTCTCAAACAAACAAAACAGAACTAGAAGGAAAAGGAACTTAATGGGCTCTGAGTAGAAGGTTGTGGGAAAGGTGACTCGATAAAGATGTCCTTTAAGATGGGTCGAGAGGTCAAAAAGGAATTCTCCCCCTTCGCTATAGAGTAAGTTCAAGGCCAATATGGACAACTTAGAGGCCTATCTTAAAAGACAAAAAAAAAAAAATATTAAAACAAAAAAAACAACAGCTGTGAACATGCCTCAGTGGTAGAGCACCTGCTTAGAATCCCCCAGTGAGGGACTGAGGGTGTGGCTTAGTTGTAGAGCACCTGCCTAGAATCCCCCAAAGAGGGGCTGGGGGCGTGGCTCAATGATAGAGCACCTGTCTAGAATCCCCCAGTAAAGGGCTGGGAGCATGGCTCAGTGGTACAGCAGTTAACCTGGCATGTTAGATGCTTTGTATTCAAACCCCATTTCTTTCTCTCCTTCCCATCCTACTTAGGCTCTCAGAAGCCAACCCCTGAGTGCCGAGAATCAAGCCGGAAGGTTCCACCACAAAAACCCAGGCGAAGCCCCAACACCCAGCTGTCTGTGTCCTTCGATGAGCCTTGTGCCCCAGCCCCTTGTCCTCGAGGGGGGAACCTGCCGCTGCAACGCCTCAGCAGGGCTTCTCGAATAGCCGGAGACCTGGATGCAGGTGCCCAAGAAGAAGAGCCCGTGTACATTGAAATGGTGGGGGATGTCTTTCGTGGAGGAGGACGAAGTGGAGGAGGCCCGACTGGGCCTCCTCTTGGAAGTGGAGGCCCAACCCCTCCAGCAGGTGCCGATTCGGACTCTGAAGACAGCGAGGCTATATATGAAGAGATGAAGTACCCCCTGCCTGAAGAGGCAGGAGACGGCAGAGCCAACGGGCCTCCTCCGTTGATGGTGCCCTCCCCTCCACAACAGCCTCATGCCCTCCAGCCCCACCCTCACCCCCACCGCCGTCCTGCTTCAGCTCTCCCGAGCCGGAGGGATGGGACACCCACCAAGACCACTCCTTGTGAAATACCCCCACCTTTTCCAAACCTCCTTCAGCACCGCCCTCCACTCCTGGCCTTCCCCCAAGGCAAGTCTGCTTCACGAGCCCCTGGCGATGGGGTCTCAAGGCTACCGGTCCTCTGCCACTCCAAGGAGCCAACTGGTTCCACCCCAGCTCCCCAAGTGCCTGCTCGAGAGCGGGAGACGCCTCCCCTGCCGCCTCCGCCTCCTGCTGCCAACCTGCTATTGCTGGGACCATCAGGCCGAGCCAGGAGCCACTCAACACCATTGCCACCCCAGGGCTCAGGCCAGACCCGTGGGGAGCGGGAGCTCCCCAACTCTCACAGCATGATCTGCCCCAAAGTGGCAGGGGTACCGGCAGCCCACCCTGCCTCAGCTGCCTTGCTACCCGGCCCCCCCAAGGACAAGGCCGTGTCGTACACTATGGTGTATTCTGCGGTGAAAGTGACCACACACTCGGTCCTGCCAGCCGGTCCACCCCTAGGTGTTGGGGAGCCAAAGACAGAGGAGATTTCAGTTCTCCATGGAATGCTGTGTGCCAGTTCCAGGCCCCCTGTACCAGGGAAATCCAGCCCCCATAGTGGAGCTATGGGCTCAGCAGCTGGGGTCCTCCACCACCGTAGCTGCCTGGCCTCCCCCCACAGCCTTCCGGATCCAACTGCAGGTCCCCTGACCCCTCTCTGGACCTACCCAGCCACAGCAGCTGGGCTCAAGAGACCCCCTGCCTATGATAGTCTCAAGGCTGGGGGGGTGCTGAACAAGGGCTGTGGAATGGGAGCGCCATCCCCCATGGTCAAGATCCAGCTGCAAGAGCCAGGGACTGATGGGGGTGCCTTTGCCAGCATCTCCTGTGCCCATGTTATCACCAGTGCAGGGACACCAGAAGAGGAAGAGGGGATGGGTGCCGCGTTTGGGGCAGGCTGGGCTCTACAGAGGAAGGTCCTGTATGGAGGAAAGAGAGCAAAGGAGCCAGACAGTGAGTGAGGATGGGGACTGGGTGTGGGTGTGGGTGTGTTGCCGGTGCTTTGGGTCAGGGGGGTAGGGGGTGAAAACGAAGGGAGGTATTTAGAAACCACAGGTCCATTGTCCTGACCTGGCGAGTTTCCTGGGAGACCAGATAGATGGGGATGGGGAGCAGAATGAATGGATGGAGGAGGGGCGGTGTCTCCAAATGTGTTCAGGAAAAGGTAGGAAGGTCTGGGGTAGGGGCTGGGGTAGAACCCTTCTCACGCTGCTCCACCCTCTGCCCCTCCCTTCCTTGGGCTGCAAGGGTGTGTGTTTGTGAGTGTGTGCACACTAGGAGCCAAACACAGCTGCCTCCCAGCTATTACCATGGCAACCCATCCAGACAGGAGTGAGAGGAGAGAGAGGCCCCTACCGTTGCCAGGCAACGCAATGCTCTGCCAGGCCTGCTCTCAGAGATGGGCTCAGTTCACGTACAGCCCTTCCCCCCACTCTATACACTCAACATAACCTCTCTACCCCCTTTCTGAGATCAGGATTTGGGATTCTCCCCACTGCGAGACAGCACCCCTGTTTTCCAAGGTGTTCATTCGAAACCTGTCTGGACCTGGAGAGGTTTAAAAGCCAAAGCTAGGGTAGAGAAAGCCCCGCTGGCTAGGGGAAGGGTTTTCTGAACAGAGCACACATATATGACCCTGAACCCTAGTGATGGTAACAATGGGTAAAAAGGCGGGGGTGGGTCTGGGGTGTGTGTTGGGGAAGTGAGAGGTACAGCCTTTCCCATTCCGGTTGTGATTTGCAGAAGGGCCACCCATGCTGCATTGTATGTGCTTGCCGGGGACAGAAAGGCCCCTCCCGCCTGCAGACACTAAGCTTTTTTTGTTATCCCAGCAGAAGTGGAGGACGGTGCCCGGGCCTGGAATGGCAGTACGGAGGGTCCAGGCAAAGTGGAGCATGAGGACAGGGGTGCTGTGGCATCAGGGATCCCTGTGAGGAGCCAGGGGGCAGAGGGTCTGTTGGCCAGGATCCACCATGATCGAGGAGGGAGCCGCACGGCGCTGCCAGTCCCTTGTCAGACTTTCCCGGCCTGCCACCGGAATGGAGGTGACACCTTGCCCTCATACTCTGTATGGAGATGGGTGGGTCAGGTATCTGCCAGGATCCACCTGGGACCATCCTGCCCGACTTACTATCTATCAACTTCATGTTTAAGGCCGTTAACCTTTGAAAAATATTTCTTGCACTTTGAAAGGAACCCAGGAGTTCCCCTTGCAAAGCAGGGGCTTTTCCATGGAACCACACCCTCAGCCCCTCACTGGGGGATTCTAGGCAGGGGTTCTACCACTGAGCCACACCCCCAGCCCCTCACTGGGGGATTCTAGGCAGGGGCTCTACCACCAAGCCATACTCCCACCCTAGAATCCTGAATCTTAACACCGTATCTCCATCTCCTTTCTTTTGAAGAGGCAGGGGACAGTTTGGCCTACAGCCTCTTCAGGGACTAGGCATCTTTGGTCTCTCTTCTTATCTCTGCTTTTTGGGCCTAGATTTCACAGGAGGGTACCGCCTAGGCCGCTCTGCCTCCACCTCTGGAGTCCGACAGGCTGCGCTCCATACCCCTCGGCCCTGCAGCCAGCCCAGGGTTGCCCTGAGCCAGGTGAGATCTGGTCTTTGTTTTATTTTCGAAGGAGGAGTTAGAAAAGAAGGCTTGGGTGTGGAAAGAAAAGATAGACCTACTCACTCATCCCTGTAATCCAGTGCTCTAGGGAAGTGGAGACAAAAAATAATTCATCTGGAGTTGGAGGCCAGCTTGAGCTATGTTAAAAAAAATTATCCTGTCTCAAAATACCAAATTAAAAAATAATAAATAGTGTAAGAAAGGGGTCAGGGCACTGTCAGGCACACACCCGAAATCCCAGTTTGGGAAGTGGGATCGGGAAGATTAGGAGCTCAAGGTCATCCTCTCTGAACTACATATGGAGTCCCAGACCAGCCTGTCTCAAAAAGGGAAAAAGAAAAAGAAAAGATGGCTGCAAAGGTCCAGAGTTCAATTCCCAGCCCCCACACTGGGCAATGTCTTCTGGCCTCCAAGTCTAGTTGATAGCATATACTTACTCAAGCACATACACAAATAAATGAAAAATCTTAAAAAGGAAGCAGGATGAAAAGGCTCAGTCGATAAAGGTGCTTGCCACCAAGCCTGACAGCTGAGTTTGGTCCTCTGCAGCCACGAGGTGGTAGGAGAGAATTAACACCCAAGAGTTGTCTTCTGATCTCCATGAGCTGTGGCGCGTGCCACACTCCCACATATGGAATAAATGAAATGCTTTTTAAAATTTTTAGTAAATAAATAGGAGTGAGAGAAAAAAAAAAAAAAGTCAGGCTGGCTGATGTTAGCAGGATCTAAAGACAAGGAGACTAACAGTTTCCAGGATGGGGCCACTTAACATGGTCACAGAAGCAGGATCCTGGGTGGTGGCTCGACTAGGCAGTACTAGTTTATGGGGGTAACTATTGATTTAGAAAAAAAGACCCCCTTCGAGAGCAAATTTGAAAAATACATGTCTGGTCTGGAAAAACTAGTATTTTTGTTTGTTTTTCAAGACTAGGAAGGATCTTATGGTCTTCTAGAACAAGATCTTTTTTGGTTGGGTTTGTTTGTTTTGTTGGTTTTTCAAGGCAGAGTCTGTGTAGCCCCGGCTGTGCTGAAACTCACTCTGTAGACCACGCTGGCCTCCAGCTGAGAGAGCCTTCAGCCTCTACCTCCCAAGTGCTGGGATCAAAGGAGTGAGCCCCCACACCCTCATATTTTTTTCTCTTTTTGGAAACAGAGTTTCATTGTGTAGCCCTGGCTGGCCTGGAACTCATGTCATGTAGACCAGGCTGGCCTCAAACTCATAAATCCACCGTCCTCTGCCTCCCAAGTACTGGGATTAAAGGCATAGCCCACCAAGCCCAACAATTTTTTTTGTGATTATTTCATTCATGAATTCCAGACTGACCTCCAACTCACCAAGTAGCTGAGGATAACTTTGAACTTCTGACTCCCAGAATGCTGGGGTTACAAGAATAGGCCCTAAGGCCCGATTTAGGAGGTTCTGTGCATTGGAACCTGGGGCTTGCTGAGTGCTAAGCAAGCACTCTTATCAACTGAGCTTCATTCCTAGCATAAGATTATTTTTAAGTTCTTTGATAATTTCACATATGTATATTATATATTTTGATTTCTTCCCTCACTCCCACCCAACAATCTCTCTCCTGTTTTTGACATCCCCAATCTCTTCTTTGCAAGCCTCTTGCCTACTTTCATCTCTTTCTGTTTTGTTGGAAAATGAGATCTTTGTTTTTCTTTTTTCTTTCGTGTGTGTGTGTGTGTGTGTGTGTGTGTGTGTGTGTGTGTGTGTGTGTGTGTGTGTGTTTGGGATTTGGTTTTGGTTTTTCGAGACAGGGTTTCTCTGTGTAGCCCTGACTATCCTGAAATTCACTCTGTAGATAAGGCTGGCCTCAAACTCAGATCTACCTGCCTCTGCCTCCCAAGTGCGAGGATTAAAGGCATGCTGGGAAATGGTTTTTTAAAGGTCACCTTTCCCAGGGCCAGGCAAGCCTAGTCTAACACCAGAGCGCATAACTGGGGAAAGGGTGCCCAAACTGGAGACCTGTCCCATCACACTCATCCTGGGAGAAAGGACGTGATGCAGGGCCTGGGAGAGGGTTTGTTTCTACTGGAGGTCGTTGGTTTGGGCGCAAGGTCTTTGACACGCCCTATCCCACATATTTTTCTTTCTCTGGGGTTCCGGCACAGACCCACCCTGTGCTGCCTCTGCCCCTGCCACCCCAGCCGGCCCGGGAGCGAGACGGCAAACTCCTAGAGGTGATCGAGCGCAAACGCTGCGTGTGTAAGGAGATCAAGGCGCGTCACCGCCCCGACCGGGGGCTCTGCAAGCAAGAGAGCATGCCCATTCTCCCCAGCTGGCGGCGGGGGCCTGAACCCCGAAAGTCCGGCACCCCGCCCTGCCGCCGGCAGCACACGGTCCTCTGGGACACTGCCATCTGAGGATGCAGGGGCGGCTTGGGACACTGGATTGGAAGGGGAGGGTCCTGCCCAGGTCTACTTGAGACTTGAGAGATGGGGAACTAGAAGAGGGTTCCTACTAGGCCCATCGTGGGGACTTGAGGTGCCAGTAGCATCCCAAGTAATTTGGGGGAGGAGGAGGGTTTGCTTGATGTTGGAAGGAGGGGTCTGAGCGTGTAGACTCCTTATTGACCTGAAGGCCAAGGTGGAGATCACCATGGGAAAAGGCGGGGCTTGGAGGAAGTTGGGGTGGGACATATAAGAGATTGACTGGAGCAACAGGGAAACAAGCTCTTTCATTGAGAGCGGGGGAGTGGGGAAGGGTATTTATTTTGTTATTTATTTTAGTCTGGAGGGCAATTCTGGGCCCTTCTGACCTACTCCTGAGCAGGAGGTGGAGAAACGAGGCTAAATTTGCACTCTCCCCAAGGCCAGTGCCTAAAGACCTCCGCCATCCTTGCCCGGCTAAAGATTTAGCCGGATGGGTCTGCTTGGGGAGCAGTCAGAGGCAGAGGCTCAGACAGTGACAGTATTTATAGTTTTCCCAGAATTTGGTAGTGAGTGTGGTCTGCTGTAAAACAGGCGTTTTATTTAGTTCTGGGGTAAGGGTCTAGCCAGGGACGGGTGGGATGATGGGGGAAGAGGGAAACTTAAGAGGGTGGAGGGGGTGGGGTATTTATTTAAATTAAAAAAAAAAAAGCTGTCAGGAACTTTTTTTAAATTCCTTTCTTTTCAGAATAATATATTAAAAGACTCATGATCCTAGAGCTGGCTTCTTATATTTACCCGTGTGCTCTGTCTTTTACACGTGTTCCTTTTCCCACAATGCCCTGGGTGGGTGGGAGTCCAAGGTGCCACCTGGAGCCGCCATGATCAGTCACAAGGAAAGGCAGAGTTTGAGGTAAGTGGGAATTCCATCATGCTGTCCATCACACTCTGTGTGTGTGTGTGTGTGTGTGTGTGTGTGTGTGTGTGTGAGAGAGAGAGAGAGAGAGAGAGGAGTGCACTTGTGTGTGTCCCCTAGTGTATGTATGGATACACATGAGGGTGTATGGAGGTCAGAGTCTGATCTCAAGTGCCCTCTGGAACCCTCAGTGATCCTGAAGCTCACTGATTCTGGTAATAGTAGCCGGCTAGGAAGCTCCAGGGATTATCTGCCTGTTCCTACCTGGGATCACAGGTGTGAATACCTGCTTTTCACTTGGGAGCTTGGGGTTCAAACCCAACTCCTTATGCTTGCTAGACAAGGGCACCATCGGTGAACTCATCTCCCCAGCTCTGGTCACTCCAATCTCACTGAGCATCTGCTGCGTTCCTGGCGCACACTGAGGCAGAAGTAGTGCTGGATGCTGACCTTGTAGTCTACTTCGGGAGCTGAAACTCCCAGACTCTGATAGACTGCTGCAGGGCTAACAGAGAAGAGGGCTGCTGTCATCTAAGAACACTAATAAGACAGGTGAGAAGGCCGGGGATATATGTCCTCAGTAGACCATTGGCTTAGAATCTCCCAGGGGAAGGCTGAGGAGGGGTCAGCCGTAGAGTTCTTGTCCAGAATCTCCCAGTAAGGGGCTGGAGATGTGGTTTAATACTTGTGTAAGAGCCAGGCAGTGTAGTGGTGGTTCACACTTTAATCCCAGCATTTGGGAGGCAGAGGCAGGCAGATCTCTGTGAGTTGGAGGCCAGCCTGGTCTACAGGGCGAGTTCCAGGACAGCCAGAGCTGTTGCACAGAGAAACCCTGTCTCCAAAAACAAAACAAAAGTGAGTTAGTTATAAGCCTAAGGGTCAATCACTTATACCACCAATAACAAATAAATAATGGTGAGGCATTAAAACATGATGATAGCTCTATGAAGGTTTTTAGAATGGAAGAAACTCCAGTTAGAAATAAATTAATGGCCTAATTGTAGTGGCTTATGCCTTTAATCCTAGCTCCTGAAGGCTACTTGAAAATAAATAATGCTAATTTGAGAGGGGGGTAAGATAGTGGACAGTAGAGATGCAGTCCTACAATGCCAGCCTTTGAGAGGTGGAGGGAGGGAGATCCAAAGTTCCAGGCTTGCCTGCCTGCGCTATAGAACAAGACCCCATCTCAAAAAACAAAAAGCAACAACAAACACCAATCAGTAGATATTTTTATGCCTGGTTAGAAAAATGAACAGAAGCCAGGGTAGTGGTACAGGCCTGCAATCCCAGAATTTAGACAAAGGCAGGAGGAGCAGGTGTTCAAGGTCAAAGCCAACCTAGGCTCTGAGAGACCCTGCAGAGAAGGAATGGAAAAGGTTGGAGAGATGGCTCAGTGGTTAAGAGCACCTGGGTTTGGTTTCCAGCACCGACAAGCTGGTTCATAGCTGTCTATAACTCCAGTTCCAAGAGATCTGATACCAGCACCAGGCATGTACAGTGTACATACATTCAGTCAAAACATTCATAGACATGACATATGATCTATACTGTACTATAACATGCCTATGTTATAAAGTATTTTTATTACAAATTTGTTTATTTAGAAAAGAAAGGGACCTGATGAGGTGGCTGAAGAGGCCAGGACCTTGCTGCCAGGCTGGCTGGCCTGGCTTTGATCTCCAGGACTGCATAACAGAAGGGGAGCATCAGCATCCCCAGGCTGTTATATGCACACTACGACATGTATACTCACACAGATATGAGTAAACAAAAAATAAAGCAAAAGAAAAATGAAACTAAACAGTACATTAATAACAGCAGCAAGAGTCATAATGTGGGGCCGGGCATGGTGGTACCAACCTTTAGTCCCAGGACTCAGAAGGCAGAGACAGGCAGACCTCTGTGAGTTTGAGGCCAGCCTGGTCTACATAATGAGTTCCAGGGCTCTAATAGTGAGATGCTGTCTCAAAAAATAAAACTGAAAAAAATCATAACATGGTCCTAGGGTTGTGGCTTAGATGGTAGAATGCTTACCTCATATGTTCAGAGCCCTGAGTAAGCCCATAGTAAGTCTGGGGCCTGTATATAAAAAATTATTATATGTCTGTATAATAACTATTATACATAATATTGTATGTAGTGAGTAACTTTAATATACAAATGTTTGTTTAATAAGTAATAGATCAATTAATAAAATCAACCTATAGAATCATTTAAAAAGGAAATCTGGAGAGTACATCCCTGTTCATAACACACACACACACACATACACCACCACCACTCCCACAGTGGACTGGAGAGTGACTCAGCAGATAAGAGCACTGATATCTCCTGTAGAGGGTGCAGGTTTGGTTCCTAGAAGCCTCATGGTTCACAAACATCTGTAACTCCCTCTTCTGACACCCTCTTCTGACCTCATGCTACACAGGACACAGCAGGCAAACACTCACAATAAATGAAGTAAATCTAAAACCAAAACGCAATAAATTAAAAAGCAACAAGCACCTGGTGTGAGAACTCAGAGGGGAAAAAATGCTTGTCACCAAGCCTAATGAACTAAGTTCGATCCCCAGAACCCATACAAAGGTAGATGGAGAAAATGAACTCTACAAAGTTATCCTCTGACCTTGACAGGAACACCGGGGACAGGATACACACACACACACACACACACACACACACACACACACACACACACACACCAAATATCTTAGGATAAAAGGGGCTGGGTGGTGGTGGCATATGTCTTTAATGTCAGCACTTGAGAGACAGAGACAGTCAGATCTCTGAGTTCAAAGCCAGCCTGGTCTACAGAGTAAGTTCCAGGACAGTTAGGATTGATACTCAGAGAAACCCTGTCTCGAAAAATCAAAGAAAAATAAAACAAAAAGCCAGGCAGTGGTGATGCACACCTTTAATCCCAGCACCTGGGAGGCAGAGGCAGGTGGATCTCTGTGAGTTTGAGGCCAGCCTGGTTTATAGAGCAAGATCCAGGACAGCCTCCAAAGCTACAGAGAAACCCTGTCTTCAAAAAACAAAACAAAACAACCCCCCCAAAAGAAAGAACAAAAAGAAAGAAAGAAAAAGATAAAAGGGTAAGATTTGTTTGAATAAACAAGAGTAAGGACTTGTCCTACATTTAAATTACTTAATAACAAAAGATGACAGTTTTCAAATGAATTTACCATAGCCCTAAGGGATTCATTTGGAAACTTGATAAAATTTGAAAGTTCATCCAGAATGATAATAGGGAAAACCAGAACATTCTGAAACAAAGTAATAGAGTGACCTGCCTTCCTGAACACTAAACATAAAATCAGAACATGTCAGCCCTAGAACAGAGCTCAAATATCAAATAATTCATCGGAGTAAGGAGCCCCAAGAGACCCTAGCATCTCACACTTCCCAAAGAGGGGGCTATCAGAAAGTAGTTTGGGAGTAGTTGGCTCTTGCAGGATGCTTGTGATCCCAGCACTCAGGAGGAAGAGGCAGCAGATCTCTGAGTTCGAGGCCAGCCTGATCTACAGAACAAGTTCCAGGACAGCCAGGACTATAAAAAAGGAACCCTGTCTCAGAAAATTTTTTTTAAAAAATAAAAAATTCTTTTTTTAAGGGCTTATGAGATGGTTCAGAGGATAGAGGTGCTTGTCACCAAGCCTGAGTGGTAGACTCCCACAAGTTGTCCTCTGACATCCACAAACATGCTGTGACATGCATGTATCCCTCATCATACCCACCCTCACACAGAATAAGTAAAATGTAGTGATTTTTTTTAAAGTAAGGATATAAAGATAGCTCAATGCTGTAAAGTGCTTACTGAGGGAGAATAAATAAAAGCTATGTATGTAAGTTCATACTTCTAATCCCTGCCCAGAGGAGGTGAGATGGGGTTCCCTAGGGCTTACTGCTGGCCAGCCAGCCTAGCTGAGTTCATGGGCTCCAAGCCATTGAAGAGACTTTCTCAGAAAACAAGGTGAATGGCACCTCAGGGTGTGTCACCCAAACTTGACCTCTGGCCTCCATGTGCATTTGCGCTCACACCCACATGCACTGGGTGCAAACACACAGACACTTGAAACTGATTTTAACATCCTATGTTGAGGCTCACATCTATAATCGCAGCACCGGGGAAGCTGAAAACGGAATGCTGTGAGTTTGACGACAGCTTGGTATACATAATGAGTTCTAGGATTGCATGGGCTACACAGTGAGATCCTCAACAACAACAACCAGTAGAACCAAATCTAAAATTTTCAAGTGTGTGTGTGTGTGTGTGTGTGTGTGTGTGTGTGCATTTTGAATTCAGGTACACATTTTTAATTTAGGCATGTGTGTGTCAGGGTGAATATTCGGAGGTCAGAAAACAACTGCAGGTGTCCATCCTTGCCTTTTTCTTGCCTGATTCATTTATTTTTATTTTATATGCATTAATGTTTTGCCTGCATGTGTATCTGTATGAGGTTATTGAATCCTCTGGATCTGGAAGAGCAGCCAGTGTTCTTAACCTCTGTCTGAGCTGTCTCTCCAGCCCCAACTGTTCTCCCTTCCTTGAGATGGGGTTTTCTTCTCACAAGGGCCAGACCAACCTCAAACTTGCTATGTAGCCAAGGATGACTTTGAACTCCCGACTCTCCTGATTTTACCTTCTGATTTACAGTGGTGCTGGGGTCAAACCCCTTGTACATGTTAGGCAAGCATGCTGACAACTGAACTACATTCCCAGCCCATCTGTGTTTCTTT